TTTTATTTTTTATTTATTATTTTTTCTAATTTTATTTGTGTGTGTGTGTGTGTGTGTGTGTGTGTGGCCAGCTCAGTCCACCAGGGGGCAGGGCTGGCTGACATGTGGTGCTGGGGGATTGAACCACGGTCCCTGTGCTTTGCTAAGCTTGTTCTAAGTAGGTGCTTTAGACCACTGAGCCACCTCACCAGCCCCCCTATTTTGCTTTTTTTTTTTTTTTTTTTGCGGAACTGGGGATTGAACTCAGACTCTTGTGCTTGCCAGGGAAGCACTTGTTCCATTGAGCCATCTCTCCAGCCCCCAAGTTTTATTTTTTAACTTAATTATTTTTGTCATTTTGAGACAAGGTGTCATTATTCTGACCTTGAACTCACTTTGTAGCCCAGGCTGGCCTCAAACTCCTGATGATCCTCCTGCCTCGGCCTTCTGGGTGCGGGGATTACAGGTGTGGGTCACCATGCCCACTCTAATTAGTGTTTCTGAGACAGGGTCTTGCTATGCAGTGCAGGCTGGCCTGGAACTCACTGTGTAGCTCAAGCGGGCCTCCAACTTAAGGGATTCTCCAGCCGTAGCCTCATGAGTGCTGGGCAGACAGGCATGCACTGTCCTGCCTCACTGACATTGTTTTTATTTTTATTGATTTATTTATTTATTTATTTTTGTGGAACCGGGGATTGAACTCAGGTCCTTGCACTTGCCAGGCAAGCCCTTATTCCAGTGAGCTATCTCCCCGGCTCCCTGTTTTTATTTTTTATTTATTTTTTTGCTCCGAATGCCTTGAGGGCAGTTTTGGCTGGCTTGAGTTGTGGGGATCGAACCACAGCAACCTGAGCCTGACAGCTTTGTCAAAGCAACCACTTAAAGAATTGAGCTAAGGGGCAGGCCCCCAACGTTGTTTTTAAAAAGAGAAGATTATTATGCTAATACATGCTTACACAAAATTAAACATTTTATATTTAAGTTCCTCATTTCTTCCTTTTCCAGAATTGGCACCTGTGGTCATTAACATACTTTAATAAATCCAGATTTTTTTTTCCAGTACTGATGATTGAACCCAAGAGCCCTCTACCACTGAGCCACGTCCCTAGCCTCTTTTTAGGTTTTATAATTATCTTTCTGGGGGCTGGTGAGATTGAGATGGCTCAGTGGTCTAAAGCGCCTACTTAGAACAAGCTTAGAAAAAACAAAGGGACCGCGGTTCAATCCCCCAGCACCACATGCCAGCCCGCCCCGCCCCCTGGTGGGCTGGGCTGGCCACACACACACACACACACACACACACACACACACATACATAAATAAAATTAAAAAAATAATAATTATATTTCTGTAAATGATTCATTCTTTTAAATTAGTTTTCTGTATTGATTTTTATTTTGCTTTGTTAGGCAGTCCTATGATGTTTGGGTTTCCTTTTTATTCACCAGATACCAGCCAGCACCCATCCTTGTATGAGCCAGCCACTGTTCTGAGTGTTGTAGCTTGTTGAATTCACATCAGATGGAAGATTATACATATAATATATAATATACATAATATATATATTATATATATCATATATATATATATTTTTTTTTTTTAAACTTTCTGCAAAGCTTTATTCCAGAGGAGCTCAGTGCTTCTTGGCAGCTGCCTTCCTCATGGTGGCCAGCACGTTGCTCGGCTCTTCACATTTCCTCTTGGCGCAGATGTGCGTCCCCACCCTTTTCTTGTTTCTTTTTTTTTAAAAAACCTGGGATTGAACCCAGGCCTTTGTGCTTGACAAGGAAGCGCTTATTCCACTGAGCCATCTCCCTGGCCCCTTTTCTTTTTTAAAAGTTTATTTATTTAGTGTGTGTGTGTGTGTGTGTGTGTGTGGCCAGCTTAGCCCACCAGGGGGCGGGGCGGGCTGGCATGTGGTGCTGGGGGATCGAATCGCGGTCCCTGTGCTTTGCTAAGCTTGTTCTAAGTAGGTGCTTTAGACCACTGAGCCATCTCACCAGCCCCATCCCCGGCCCCTTTTCTTGATGAACTTGAGGGCGTGCTTGTCCTTAGAGACCTTGGTCAGCTCCATGGCGTGCGGCTCATAAGGGGCGAAGCCACACACCTCCCGGGTCATATCCCACACGAACTTGTGTTTGGTGAGGTGTCTGCGCTGGAGGCTGTGCCTTAGTTTGCTCATATTCTCAGTCACCTTGTGGCCCATGTTGCTGCCCATAGCCATGGGACAGTGGAGGACCATGGCTACTGTTCTTCGATGGCTGCTGTGGCAGAAGGGACGAGCTATATATTATTGCTTATCTCTACTTTGCTGCAGAGGCTCAAGTGCAGAAATGCTGTGATTTGTTTAACGTCATAGCAAGTTGTGAGGCTTTGAACCGAGGCATTCTGGTCCTAGAGTGAGGAGCCCACCGCATCCTGCTCCAGCCCTGCTCCCTGGGTTCAGGCCCTGTGCCCCACCCATCCTTCCTAATAGTCACATAAAGGCCCAAGTACTCAGACTCTCCCCGCCAGAGTCCTTGACTTTCATATTGCAGCCCACAGTTCCACAGCTCTGGCTGCCCATACACCTCAGTGTCCCACTAACTTTACAGACTTTATAAACTGGTTCAAACTGAGTTCGATCTTCTCCCACCTGACTCTTCTCCTGTGTCCTCTGACTGGCAATGCCCAGGACAAGGCAATCCAAAGGGAGTTAGTTGAAGGAGATAGGTTCTAGGGGCTGGGGAGATAGCGCAATAGAATAAGCGCTTGCCTGGCAAACTCAAGGGCCTGAGTTCAGTCCCCGGTTCCGCAAGGGGAAAAAAAAAAAAAAAGAAGTTCCAAAAGATACGGGAAGTGTTTGGGCCAGTAGCATGGATAAATATTTCGCCTTGCGGAAAAGTGAAAAGAAAGGGTTAGCTTTGGACATCTGGAGAAAACAGGTGGGAAGAGCCGAATTTAAACTCTGGGCCCTTAGCTACTTATCACCAAGGCAACGGCGTTGCTATGGTAACGGTGCAGGTCTTAATTTCCCCAGTACCTTGTCGACTGCCGTTACTTCCCTACCGAGCCAGACGACGCTACTGCTAGGGGTCTTGAGGACCTCTAGGCACGGCCCCGGGAGGTGGGTGTTACTGCTGCAATAGCCAATTAATATCCCCCCCACCCCATGAGGGCTGGCGAAGAGCGGCAAGAAGGGGTTGGGACTTTCTTGGCGCTTATTAAAGGGCGTTGAAAAGGGCGGGCTCGCGTCCCCAGCTCACCAGTTATAAGCCGTGAAGAGGGGGGCGGGACCAGGTAAACTGCGGTTGGCTCCGCCTATCTCCATTTTTGCCCAATAGAAAGCTGTAAAACCAATTGGGACTGCTAGGATGTCCAATAAGCATCGCCTTCAAGACCCGGTACAGGGCGCGACTACCCAATCAACAGTGGTGATGGGCGGGCGCAAGGGACAGGCGGCTCAGCGGAGGCGGAACGGGCGCTGCGGCAGGAGGGAAGATGGCGGACGAAGAGAAGCTGCCGTCCGGCTGGGAGAAGCGCATGAGCCGCAGCTCAGGTGCAACGGGGGTCGGGACTGGGGGGGGGCCGCGCGAGCCCAGGACGCAGGGCTCGAGCACTCCCCTTGGGATGCGGCGCCGTGGCCGCCTTCCTCCCGCGGTGTCTTGGGTTCTGCACGTTGTGCTCGAGGTAGCAGCCCCGGCCCACCCTGTGTGGAGCGTGAGCTCCCAGAGCTGGGCCTTGGGGAAACTGACGCAGGGGTGGGTGGGTGCCTGAGGGACCGAGAAACCGCAGCACTGCCCCAGGGCATGCTGGGTCTCTTAACCGGATGCTCTGGATGCCCCGGAGGACTCTGCGCTCCGCTGGGCGGGCGAGGCTGGGGGGTGCCCCCAGATGAAGGCACCCCAATGCTGTGCGGCGGGCGGCCCGCCTAGGGTGCAGCCCGGCCTTGGGTCTACAGCTGAACCCTGGCCGACACCGCTGCTATTGGATCTGCGGTACCCGAGATGATAACTCAGATCGGCTCCAGTGCTTGCGATCTGGTACAAGGGTGTGCCCGGATAATGACCGTGCCGGTTTATATCGCGCCCAGCATTGTGCTGAGAGCCTTAAGTATTTAAGTTCCCTCTCTGAAGTGTTACGGTTCTTGTACAGTCGTTATTACTCTCATTTTACAACTGGGGAAAGTCTGAGGACAGAATATTGAAGGAGCTCATCCAGAATTCTGCAGCAGGGGCCGGAGATATAGCTCAGTGGCGTGAGCGCCTGCCAGACAAACACAAGGTCCTGAGTTCAAACCCCCGTACCACACACACACACACACAAAAAGTTGACCAAAATCAGGCAGTTTCAAGAGTTGAGGCCTTTTGCCCGTGTCCCTGCCGGTGCCCGAGAAGCAAGCCTAGCGTCTTTGGCTAGGCCCACGGTACTCTGTTTCCTCCACAGCCCATGGTAATCATAGTTACAGTCATAATTCTTTCTTTTCCTGAACACCCAGCGCTGTGGCGAACACTTTGCATACATTGATGCTTTCCATTAGCTCCCTCAGTACTGATGTCCTTATTTTGTGGCCTCTCTTTGCTGATGTGAAAAATGAGGTTAAGGGAGAAGGAGCCTATCGCTAAGGCGCTAGAGGCTCACCGGGATTGACTCTCAGAATCCGTGCACTTGCCCAGCCTGCCCCAGCCCTCACCTGTGACAGTGGCCTCCAGTCTAAGCCTGACACACTGCAAAGCTCTGTGGCCTTTGCTACTCTCAGTGGGACCCTGGCAGCCTTTTTGAGGGCAATACCCTCCCTTTCATGGTCTTAGGTCCATTATGCAGCCCGGTCTTTTAGCTCTTGGGATAACACCCAGCATCTGCAGGGTCCTTCTTACAGGCTCCTCACAGCCTGGGGGACAGCGTCTTCATAAGGAGCACGGGACGGAAGTGCACAGGGATCATTGTCCCTCACAGCTGTTACCAGAGATGCAGAAGTTGAGGCCAAGGTGCTGATCGGCACAACTGTGTTAAAAATATTTTAAAAAGAGGCCAGGGAGATAGCTCAGTAGAATAAGTGCTTGCCTAGCAAGCGCAAGGGCCTGAGTTCAATCCCCAGTTCCACCAAAAAATAAATAAAAATAAATGTTTTTAAAAGAGAAAAAAGTGGGGGCGTCAGGCTGGTGGTACACAGTTGGAGGTTGAGGTGGCAGGATTGCTTGACCCCAGTTCAAGGCCACCCTGGACCTCTAAGCAAGTCCTTGTGTGGGGGCGGGGGAACACATACCCGTGATCTGAGGCAAGTGTGAGCCCAGCCTAGACAGCTTAACTTGGAGAGACACTCTCAAGGTTTTTTTAAGGGCTGGGGGATAGCTGTGAGTTCAAGGTCAGCCTGACAGTGAGACCCTGTCTCAAAGAAAAAGAGGACTGGAGATGTAGCTCAATTTAGAGACCTTGAGTTTAATCTTCAGTACTTCAAAAAAACAAGATTTCTAAAAACCTGCCCTACCAACGTGTGCCAGGCTGTGTGCTAAGCATTTCACAAATTGTGGACTCTGTCCTCTCAACAGCCCTCCAGGCAGGGATTGTTACCTCCATTTTACAGGTAAGAAAACTGAGGCCCAGGGAAGGTCGATCCTCCAGAAAGTGGCTGAACCAGGTACAAAGCTTGGGTGGCCTGTCTGCTGAATTCTTGCCTCTTCTGTTCCTCTTCCCTTCTTTTGGGTTATCCTCCCACAGTGGAAGAAGTTATCTGGTCATCTTTCTTGGCTAGTGCTTGCCTGACCCACCTAGAGTACATATAGTAAGGGCAGGGATCCAGGATCTCCAGGTCCTGTGCCTCTTGGCAGACACCGATGGGTTTGTTGAGCCTCTCTCAAGTCAGTCCTGTGTCCCTGTCCTCCATCTCGGCCCTAGCTGAACACCTGCCACCTCTCCGCAGGCCGTGTATACTACTTTAACCATATCACCAACGCCAGCCAGTGGGAGCGGCCCAGCGGCACCAGTGGCGGTGGCAGCAGCAGCAAAAATGGGCAGGGGGAGCCTGCCAGGGTCCGGTGCTCGCACCTGCTGGTCAAGCACAGCCAGTCCAGGCGGCCCTCATCCTGGCGACAGGAGAAGATCACCCGGACCAAGGAGGAGGCCCTGGAACTGATCAATGGTGAGCAGCGCGGCTCGGGACAGGGTCTTGGGAGGGACCACGCAGGAGCTACAGGAGAGCCCACGTCCACCACCGGTGGCCAACGGAGAAATGCCAGTGCCTGACCCGAGCCTGGTCCACAGCTGCCTTTCTCTCCTGTCCATGTAGGATCTGTGATCTGGGGGGGACAGCGGACCCTGGCACCCCTGTGTGCACAGCAGCAGTGCCTTGCAAGTTAGTTCTGAGGCCTCCCCTGGACAGTGGGTGTCATGGTCCCCCGCCTCCAGCCATGACATCAAGGGCCAGTTTGTGGTCCGAGGTAGCTGGGCTGTTCTCAGTGGTTCTGTCACCAAGAGGGGCCTGGGCGACATGGAGGTGTGTCTGGAGCGAAAGCATACAAGGGTGAGAGTGGAACCACGCACCAGAGCCTGCGAGTCAGCTCTGACCGTAGGAAGTGGCCACTCCTTGCTTGTTTCTGTCCTCTAGGACAGTGGCGTTGAGTCTGTGGCATGGGCGTTTCTCTTTTAAGACAAAAGATGTTAGTGCTAGACATGGTGGCATGAACCTGCAATCCCAGCACTCAGGAGGCTGAGGCAAAAGTGCAGTTGACCCCAAATTCAAGACCAATCTAGACTATGTAGTGAGTCCCTGTCTCAAAAAAAAAAAAAAAAAAAGATTTTAATGAATGAGTTGTGTTTTCAAAACAAAAACTCTGCTATTCAAATTTAATTGCAGTGCTGGCCTTTGTGATAAGTAAGTGGATTTGGGTGCTCAGCCCTAAAAGGTTCACCATCACCGGCCAAGGGGCTAGAGCAGGGGCAGCCACCTTTTTCTTTAAAGATGGGGGCCTGCTGGTTAGCTCAGTTCTCTTAAGTGCCTGCTTATGCAAGCACAGTCAAGTGGTTCGATCCCCAGCTTCTCCTGCCTTACCAGACCCGCCCTTAAGGCAGCCTGTACAAAAAAAAAAAATCCTTCTCAACTTTTGGGCCCTGGAGGCTGGGGAGATGGCTCAGTAGAATAAGCGCTTGCCTGGCAAGTGCAGGGTCCTGCAAAAAAATAAATAAAATAAAATAAATCAATGCAAACCAGATGTCTGGATGACGTCTGTTTTAGGTTTGGTGGCCAGCACAGCCTCTGTCTGCTCTGCCTTGGACTCCACAGCAGTCATGGCCTCTGAGTGCTGGCCAGACATTATTTACAAAATCAGACAGGGTTGTGGAGAGATCTGTTGGCCTCTCGGTGGTCCCCACGAGTGGTGAGAGGATTTAGAAAATCGGAGATAATCGCTGAGGTCAGGTGGTGGCCCATGCTTGACTGGCAAAGAACCCCAGAACAAGAGTAGGGGCCTTTATTGACACCTCTGCCGAGTTACAAGATACAAGGATGCCCAGCGGCTAACAGCCCACAAGGTCCAGGCAGGGCAGGCAGGGTGTTTCTCTGGAGACTGAAGTAGCCTGACTGCTTTAGGCAGCGGGGCCTCCTCCCACCCCCCGCACAGGATCAATTTCATCTTCAGCTCCCAACAGGGAGGCTGAGGCAGGAGTGCAAGGTTGATGCTAACCAAGCAATTTAGCAAAACCTTTTCTCTAAATGAGTAAGTATAAAGGTCTTTGGTGTGGCTCAGTGGTAGAGCCTCCAGAGCCGAATTCTCCCTGAACTGCAAAACTACAACAACTAAGCAGGACTTGCCCTTCAGGCGGGAGTTGGTAGAACCCTGGTTCAGAGCTGTCAGTATGGCCCCTGCTGCCTACATGTGCCTATTTCCATTGATTGATTGATTGGTTGATTGACCAATTTGTTTGGCTTTTTTTCCCTGAGGCAAGGTCTTGCTGTAGTTCAGACTGACCTTGAACTCAGTATGTATGCCAGGCTGGCTCTGAATTTTAATCAAACTTCCTGCCCCAGCCACTGAGATTCTGAGGTTATGCGTGTGCAGCACCACACCTGGCCAGCTGTGTGTCTTGCACTTTTATGACAAAGTTTTACTATGTAGTGGGCTAGAACTCACTAGGTAGCAAAGGCTGGCCTCAAATTCATGGAGACCTGCCTGCCTCAGCCTCCTGAGTGCTGCAACCCATGGGCATGGGCCTCCACATGAAGCCACCACTTCTATTTAAACTAGTTAAAATGAGAGGAGACTAAGAAGTGGGCCTTGGGACCAGGGAGATGGCTCAGGAGGATAAGCGCTGTCTGGCAAGTGCGAGGGCCTGAGTTCAGTCCCTGGTCCTGCCAAAAAAAAAAAGTGGGCCTTGGGTCACTCTCATGTTGTTTCCTCCTCCGCGGTGTCTCCTGCCAGAGACCCGGTTCTCTGCAGCTACACCTGCTCAGACAGCCAGGGGCCAGACAGCCTGGGCACCCACCCCGCTGTGCCAGGGCCTGGCCATGTGACCTCAGGCAGGTGACTTAACATCTCTGAGCTTCAGTATTTTTATTTGTTGCTACAGTACTAGGACCTACCTCCAGGGCACCGGGGGGGACTCTGACCTAATGCAGCGCAGCACAAGCGACATCTGGTGGAAGTTAGAATTGCTGACTTTCGCAGTGGTATTATTAGCACGGGGCCTGGCCAGGATTTCCTCAGTCAGCCTTGTCTCACCGTGGCATCACCGGGTGCAGGACTGGCCTGTGAGACATCGCAGACCCCATCCCCATCCAGATGGCGTCTGGCACCACCTTTTGGCCTCTGCCATCTTGCATGGTTTAGAAAGATGCTGAGCAAGGCGTAATGGTGCACGCTGTAATCTCAGCTACTCAGGAGGCTGAGGCAGGAGGATCGAGAGCTAAGGCCAGCCTGGGCAGCTTAGCAAGACCATGCCTCAAAATACAAGATAAAACAAACATAGAGGGGCCAGGGAGATGGCTCAGTGGAATAAGCACTTCCCTGGCAAGCGCAAGGGCCTGAATTCAATTCCCACTTCAGCAAAAAAAAAGGACATAGAGTATAGCCCAGTGAGTAGGCCTTTGCCTCTATAGGTGAGGCCCTGGGTTTGATTTTCAGCACGGGAGAGGGGGAAGAGGGATGGAAGGGAGGAGGCCCCATGTGTGAGGAGTGGCAGAGAAGAGGAGCAGAAAGCACTACCAGGAGGGCCCCAGGGGTCGGCCTGGTAGGGAGACCTGCATGGCCAAAAGGCCCAGGCAGGTGGAAAAGGGTGCGAGATGACACCTGGGTCCTCCCAGCTCTTGTAGTCCCGGTTCTGAGTCCCGGAGTGAGCAGGAGGCACGGGGTCTGGAGCTGGGATTCAGGAGGAATCATCTGAGGCAGAGGGCTGGGAGACACGGCATGAGAGGGGCTCAGCAGGGCAGCCGGTCCAAGGTGGACATGCAGGGTGATCCAGAGACACCCAGGGGCTGAGGCACGAGACGCTGGTGAAGAAGGCCTGGGTCTGGCCGAGGTAGGTGGGCTGTCCCCACATCTGGGAGGGACAAGTGTGTGGCTGGCAGGGCTGACCCTGCAGGGGGCCTGGAGGTCCTGACTAAGACTGGAGTCTTGGGGGAAGTCTGGGCACTCCCAGCAGGCAGCCAGGCCCTTAGACCCAGCCTGGAGTGTCAGCGCAGTACCCCTGCCTGTTCAGGACACGTGGAAGCCTTGAGGGGGTCGCTGCATCTTAGGCACCCTGACTTGAACTTGGGCTGGCGTGGGGGTTCAGGTTCTAGAGAGATGGAGGGGCAGAATCAGAGGACTCTGATACTGGTGGGCAGGACTAGGTATTGAAAAGGTGGCGGGGTCCCCTGGATCACTCAGGGCCTTACACGTGGCCTCCTGCAGATGACCTCGTTCTCAGCTGTGGTTGCTGCACCTGTGAAGAGTTGGGACAGCGGGCTCAGCTGCTGGCACTTGCCCACCTCATGGCAGCATTGACCCTGGTCACCAGCTGTGGCAGGGATAAAGGAGAGGGCAGGGCCCCTGCTGCTACCCAAAGCCCCTATGGGAGGCCCAGCAGGCCCAGCCGCACAGCCCCCAGCGACCTTGGGCCGGGCTCCCTGTCCCTGTCCTGGGCCGTCAGGAGGACAGCAAGGAGGCCCGGCCAGGGCACCTGGGGCGCACTGCAGAGCCAGGCCGTCTGTGCCAGGTCAGCACTTGCAGAGCACCAACTGGTTTTCTCCCCTCCTGGGCTCAGTCCAGGTGATCAGGAGACGATGATGCAGGCAGCACATGCCTCCGCAGGCAGGCCGAGCATACAAGTGTCGCTGGTGTCTGTTCAGAGCCCGAGCTCCTTTGTGCCCCGAGGGGACCGGCCACCTGCTCAAACCAGCACTGTTCCACTGAAGCTTCTCTGCAGCGGCTGGGCTGTGGCCAGCAGTTGTCAGGAGCCCAAACCTGCGGGCTGGCTTTGCTGGTGTCCTTGACAGAGGTGGGCTGGGAGCACCGCCCTGCTACAGCCCTGCATGCCAGGAGCTGTAGTCCAGACAGCGGGCAGCCCTTCCCCACCCAGACTTGGGGCCACTGGGCTCCTTTGACCTGGTGTACCCAAGGTCAGTGGCCCTCTTTAGCCTTCTAGCCTTTGGGGGTGGCAGACCTGGTCCCATCCCCACTCCCTGGGCATTGGGGACCGGAAGCAGCGTGTGGATTTGCTGGGATGGGCCAGGGAGTTTGTCTCTAACCCACCCTCTTTGCCCCCTCTCCTGAGTGACAACCTGTGAGCTCAACGTCAGTGAGGGGAGCAGGGTCATGGTTCTGGAGGCTGAGGCTGGAGATGAGGTTCCTGCCAGTCTGGTTCCCAGTGAGATCTCTTGCTGGCCCGACAGCAGCCTCTCTTGCAGCGTCCTCGTCCTCTTACGGCCTTCCTCAGTGCCAGTGCCGTGAGAGAGTAGGCGCTTTGATGTCTCTTGTTTTATTTTTTTTTCTGTTTCTTTTTGAGACCAGGTCTTACGATGTAGCCCAAACTGGCTTTGAACCTTTGAGATCAAGTGATCTTGCCTGCTCTGCATCCTGAAAAGCTGGACCGCAGCCGTGTGCCACCGAATAGTGTCTTTGCTGCCTCCTCCCCCTGCTTTTTTGTTTTTGTTTTTTTTTTTTTTTAAATTTTATTTATTTATTTATTTATTTGTGAGTGAGAGAGAGAGAGAGACCAACTCAGCCCACCAGGGGGCAGGGCTGGCTGGCATGTGGTGCTGGGGGATTGAACCGCGGTCCCTGATGCTTTTGCTAAGCTTGTTCTAAGTAGGTGCTTTAGACCACTGAGCCATCTCTCCAGCCCCTGTTTGTTTTGTTTTTTGAGAGAGGGTTTCGATACACAGTTGAGGCTGACCTTAACTTACTACCTAGCCCAGGCTGGCCTCTAACTAACAGCGATCCTCCTGCCTCAGCCTCCTAAGTGCTGGGATGACAGGTGTGCACCACTAGGTGTCTTTCCTTATAAAGTCGTTGGTCCTAGTTGGGTTTGGTGCTGCACACCTGTCATCCCAGTACTCTGGAGGCTGAGGCAGAAGGATCACAAATTAAAGCTCAGCTTGGGCAACTTCGCAAGACCCTGTCACAAAATTTTAAAAAGGGGGAGAGAAACTGGGTGTTTAGCTTAGTGCAAAGGACTCTGGGTTCAATCTCCAGGCTCCTCTCCTAATGCAGTCACTTTGGGGACAGGGGCTTTGTCATGCACCTCTGAGGGCACAGCTGCTGAGCTGATGCCAGATGGGTGGGCAGCTTATATCTATGAATGGCTCACTCCTGGCCAGCCACTACCCTGTGTGTCACTTGGTCCCTCCAGGGTGGGATGCCTGTTTCCCCACTTTAAAAGACTTATCAGGCTCACATCAGAAACCCAGCAGCTGGAGCTCCCAGTCAGCCTGCGCTGTGCCTTCCTGGTGTCAAGCTCGAGCAGAGCCCCCATGTCAGACTTGAGGGGGCACCATCTCAGGGAGGTGGAGGAGACCCAGGCTGTCCAGCTCCCCTGTGGATCCTGAAGTTCAGGCAGAAAAAGCACCTGGGGTGTGGCTTGGTGATGGGCTCCATCCCAGCACCGCCAAGAGAGGGACGGAAGGGCAGGGGATTCCAGGGCCTACGCCTGACAGCCAGGTCTCTGCCTCCTTCCTGGGATCTGTATGTGTCTCGATTATTCACGGAGCCCTTATTGCCAGTGAGCTCGGGCTTGGTGCTCAGTTCCGGGAGGTGGGGTGGGCAGCGAGGAGCAAAGGCGCCCAGACCCCATCCTCAACAGACACAGGCAGAACAGTGGGGATGTCGGTGCAGCCACTGCTGGGGGGTTTTGGGAGGGGGCAGACAGCACCGAGGCTGGAGATGGTGAAGGACGGGGGCAGCCAGGAGAGACTTCACTGAGGCCTGGGCACTGGGCCTGGAGGTGGAGTCAGGTAGTACACAGTACTGCCCCCACCCCATTCTTGGTTTGGGTGTTTGCGTGCTTGTGTTTGAGACAGGGTCTCCCTGTGTAGCCCAGGCTGGCCTAGGACTCCTGAGAGTCTGGCCGAGTGGCCCAGGCTGGGCTTGGAGCTGGGGTCTTCCTGCCTCGGCTTTCTGGGGTGCTGGGATCACAGGAGGCAGGGACCCCACTGGCACCCTCTGCCACCTTCTCTTGGTGGTGCTGGGAGGGAGCCCGCCGCCAAGCCGCATCCCCAGCTGCCTTTTCTGCCTGAACCTCATGCACTACCACGCCTGGTAAAGACAGTTTTTCTTTTATCTGGGGAGAGGTCTAGCTGTCCAGTTCAGGCTGTTCTTTTTTGTTTTTGTCTTCTTGAGACAGGGTCTTGCTATGCGGCTCAGGCTGGCCTTGAACTCCCAGTTGCCCAGGCTAGTCTGGAACTCAGTGATCCTCCTGCCTCAGCCTCCCGAGTGCTGAGATTACTTTTAAGACCACCTCTGACCCCTGCCTGAGTGGAACATTTCTAAGCCCTGTGAGCTATGGGGGCGCCACACACTGTGAGAACGCCAGGCTGCTCACTGTGGGGGACCCAGTGGCTCTGGTGGGGTCAGGGCAGGGCCTCCCTCAGTTTGCTTCTAGAGGCAGCAGATGGCTTGCGGTGCTGTAGGCTCTAGCGTCCTCACTGATCACTGTGGCCCACAGGGAAGGGACAGGTAGGGACACCAGAGCTGCATGGGGAAGGCCCCATAGGTACCCAGAGTCCAGGGAGAAGAGCAGGACAGGTGACCTGGCACATCTGGTCCAGGTCAGAGTCAGCAAGGCAGAGACCGCCTGTGCCCAGATGCCTGGGTGGCAGCACCTTGACATGGCTGCTGGCTCTGCCCTCGGTGCCAGAGGAGGCACAGCAGAGAGGAATAGGGGCAGCTTCATCTGTCACGGGACAGACGGCCCATGCAGGGACAGTGGTGATAGCAGGTGGCACCACAGCCACTGGCTCATGACATGCCAGGAGGCCAGACAGGGTGGGGTGATGAGGCAGGGGGCATCCTGTGTGCAGCACTGCGCAGACCAGATGCTGCGGTCGCCACGTCCCAGTCCTCCAGGCATGTGCTCCCTGCAGTGCCCCTCAGGTTGAGGTGGCATTGATGCCCAGCCAGGGGCCCTTGGGCAAGTGGGATCAGCACCCACTCTGGAGACGCAAGGGGCTTAGTGGGCCTTGAAGCACTGATTAGGTCACCCAGCGAGGTCCCTGGATGACTCACAGGTACCTGCTTGCTGTGGCCCTGTCGTCTATACCTGGCAGGTGTGTTGAGACCCAGTGTGGGTCACAGGGGAGCGGTGGGAGCAGTGTAGGTGAGGAGGGTGCACATGCCACCAACAGATGTCAGCTGCCCTCACCTGTTGAGAGAAGGCAGCAGGACGCTGTCTGGGGTATGGGGTGGGGACAGCATGCGCTGTCCGGCCTGTTGTAGCCTTCTGTCCACCTCAGGAGCTGGTTGCTGCTCCCCACCCAGCGCACTCCTGCACACACGGGTCTCACCACACACATGTGCACCGCTCCCATGCGTCACTCCCAAAGTGAGTCACACAGGTGCTTGACCCTGGGGCTAGCTTGGGCCACACACAGGGTGGGTCTGGCCTGGGCGCCCCCGTCTCACCTGTTGTGGGGAGAAGAGCCGTGCAGCTCTGCTGTGGCACCAGGGTACATAGAGCCGATCCATGTCCCTGCCACCCAGACCATGGGGGTCTCTTCCAGGTAGATTTCCTCCAAAATACTTAATGTGTCAAATTATGGGGGAAAAAAAATACTTAATGTGTCTAGGCCTGGGCCTGTTTGTTAGGACAGAGGGACCATAGGAGACTGGTGTGGCTGTGCGGTCACTGGGGGTCACAGGTGCCTCAGGACAGGTGATGGCTGCCCACTCGGTCACACTGTGCCTGACAGCAGCCTTTCCTTATCCTGTCCCTCCTACAGGCTACATCCAGAAGATCAAGTCAGGAGAGGAAAACTTTGAGTCTCTGGCCTCACAGTTCAGCGACTGCAGCTCGGCCAAGGCCAGGGGAGACCTGGGTGCCTTCAGCAGAGGTGGGCGAGGAGCGGGGCCCCAACATCTGCCTCTGCAGCTCCCTCCCTGGGCTAGCAGATTCATGGCCCCGCTTTCTGCGACGGGGCCTCTAGCAGCCACCAGGTGGCAGCGTGGTCCCTTCCTGGGCTTGGAGGAGGTGCCTCATGGCTGTGGGACCTGTCTGTTGGGGTGCAGATCCTCTGAGCTTGGCCTCCCCTGGGGCTTTGGTCCGTGCGTCCTGCACCACTGTTCCCATCCCGGGCCCAGCGGGCACCCTTGACCTATCCGTGGCATCCCCTCCTGAGAGGTTCTTAGGGGGCCTCCAGAACTTCCTCTGCACCCGGAGACATGGGGAAACAAAGGGTGTGAGGAGGTGGGGACAGATAGGCCTGGCAAGGGCTGAGGGAACTGGGGATTCCAGGTGACAGTGCTCCACCCATCCTCTAGGTCTTCAAAGGCCAGAGCTACCCAGGCCAGGGTGGGGATGCCAGGAAAGGGTTGGGGCTGGGTGCTGGCCCTGGCAGAACCAGGCTGGGTGAGGGGCTCACTGCCAAACTTAAGGCCAGGTGCGCCTTAGCACACAGGGGTGGCAGCCACCCGGCTGCCATCCCTCATGCTGTCTCCAGCTTCCGCGGCCTCCTTAATGTTCCCATTGCCTCAGCCACTGCGGCTCAGCCGCTGACAGGGCTATAAACTCGGTGATGGATGAAAGCAGCCAGGAGCCCCATCTGCCACCACCACCACCACCGACGCCTCCCCTCGTCCCTCCTGTCCCCAGGTCAGATGCAGAAACCATTTGAAGATGCCTCATTTGCGCTGCGGACAGGGGAGATGAGCGGGCCAGTGTTCACGGACTCGGGAATCCACATCATCCTGCGCACGGAGTGAGGCCGCATGGCCGCCGCCGCCATATTTATTGTCCCAGAAAGGCCGGGGAGGGGCTCAGAGACTGGAACTCTGGTCTCTGTTCCCTGTGCTCCCACAGTCAGGGCGGCCCCTCCAGACACCTCAACTTCAGAAGAGTCGTGGGGGGAAGGCCCCAGGCCCAGAAGCGGGCACCAGGGCTCGTCCAGTTGCAAATGCCAACGGTTGCACAGTGCCCAGACCAGCTGGCCATGGGCCCAGGGGCAATAGCCAGGCCGCAGTAACCTTTGCCTCCTCCATTAAACCGGAACCACTCTGCGGGCCTGTGTCTCATTTTTTATCACTTGAGGTGAGGGGACGCTCTGGGGTGTGAAGGGACACCAACCCCTGTGAGGCCTGGGTGTCCGCACTGCTCCTCCTTCCCCTAAGCCTCCCTTCTTCCAGGCCTGGGGTTGACATGCAGCGACACTGGCCATTAGGTAGAGCCGGTGGGTCTGGGGAGGGGGACAGTTGCGCCCTACCCAGGAGAGCTGTGCGCCTCCCTCAGCTCCCTGTGCACACAGGCCCCACTGCAGTTAGGGTGTGTTGCACCCAGAGCCCCAGCACCCATGCCACCAGGGGCGCTTCTGCCAGCTAGACCAAGCAGTGCAGATGCTGTTACCATGGAAACAGGATTTCCCCCACCCCCGGGGAGGGGTATTGTGGGGCACGTCTGAGAGCAGAGATTCCCCTTAGAGAGGGCTGATAATGGAACTGCTGTTGAGCAGGGGTCTTTTGTACCTCTGGATGGGGGCTCCTGCCTGCCATCTCCCCACCGCTGCCTGGACTAGGGGCTCAAGATTCAGCCGGAGGTCATGGACTCTCGATAGTGATGGGTGGGTCGCGGTGCGGCCTCAGCTGATGGGGCTCATGGACCTGAGAAGAAAGCTGGACCCCCAGGAGCAGCCCCGGCCTTCCCCCAGAACGAGTCGAGTCTCTGCCAGTCACCTGAGCCCGCGCCCCTCTGCTCTAAGCTGCTCCTTCTCCCCACTGCTGTCCCGCCTCCTGCTGGAGCGCTGTCGTCTGGAAGGTTTGATGAGTTCCTCGCAGCCGCGGGCTGCGCACAGCCTCCCGGTTGGCCACGCCTCCGAGCGCCTGGTTCTGGTTTCCCTGCGGCCTCAGGCGTGCAGGCAGCAGCCCTCCGCCTCCAGCAACAATTGGGCGCCTGGGGAGGCGACGGTGCTGACCCCAAGTCTCAGGGGCTCTGCTGGGTCTCAGATGCCACCAAGGAGGAGCCTAGAGCACCATAATCATCCAGGGGGGTGTGTGTGTCTGTCTGTGTGTGCCCCCTTTGTCCTTTCTGGGCGTTGCTGGGAGTCCCTCGCTGTGGACCTGGCTTCCCTTCCTGTGTCTGAGCTGAGGCCAGAGCCTAGGTGAAAAGAGGGCCTTCAGGTCAGATAAATGGGCCCCCGGAGCCCACTCGGCGTTCTGGTGATTTATTATTAAGGAGCTGTGGTTTCCCCTGCCTGCCCCATGTCCCACTCCTGCTGGAGTCGTGTTGGGCTGTAAATCCCACCATTAGTGTGGTGGTGGTGTGGTCTCGGGCAGGAACCCAGGGCCCTGCACAAGCCGGGCAAACACTGTCCCACTGAGCTACCTGCAGCGCCCCCACCCCAGACAGCTGTCCCCGGCCTCCATCCAGACCGGGCCACAATTTAAGTGTCAGCCCTGGCTTCTACGGCCACCAGGCAGGATTCAGGCAGATCGTCACCTCAGGGCACTGGGCCACAATGTGGGACTGGGATACAGCTGGGTCATAGCCACACGCAGGGCCCCAGTGAGGTGAGGAGGGAGGAGTTGAGCTCCACAGACAGTGCCCAATGTGTGTGCGGCACTGGGGTTGAACACGGGGTCTCTGCACTGAGCTCCTTCCCCAACCCTTTTTAATGTTCTATTTTGAGTCAGGGTCTCCCAGGTTACGACAGTGATCCTGCCTCAGCCTCCCAGATGTGCTGAGACAACAGGTGAGGGCCACCGGGTTTTGTTCATTTACTTAGCAGGCACCCAGCAAACAGCCTCTCCCCGAGCTGATCCAGAAATCCATCCTTTTTTTCCTGTCACACTTGCTCATTTAAATGGAAATTAATTGGTCTTGGGGAGGATTTCTTTAAAATTAGTTTTAAATGAGTGCATTAGGCAGCTCCATTTATTATTCATGGTTTCACTTCCAGTATGGCCGGGTGTCTGAGTTCCAGAGATGATTTCATCAGGGAGGCCTTAGCAATGGGGAGGGCAGTCATACCCCACCAGGCCTCCACTTGGGCTGCCCTTGGGTCTGACAAGGAACTGGCATCTACCCTGTGCCACCCCTCACTTCCTCCAGCCCATGTCCTCCGCTGTCCCTGCACACCATGCTGCCCACCACGCAGATCCAGCTGGCAGAGCCTTCATCCAGGGCTTCCCTCCTGTCTGCCTGGCCTTCTCTAAGAGCTCCAGGCCTCCTGTTGGGAGCCAGTCCTACCCAAGCTCCTTCCAAACACAGGGGTCAACACCTGTCATCCCAGCACTCTGGGACGCTGAGGCAGGAGGGTCTCAAATTGAAGCCCATCTTGGGCAACATAGCAAGACCCTATCTCAATGAAAAGGGTTGTGGGTATAGCTTGGTGCAAAGGCCCTGAGTTCAGTTCCCTGAAACACACACCCCAATAAAAGGGTAGGAGCGTCAGGTGGGGGGTGTGGCAAGTTTATCCTAACCCAGGACAAGTACATCTGGCTGCTGTTATTGACTCAGCTCAGGCATGACCCAGTTTTTTTTTTTTTTTTTTTTTTTAAATGTTTTCCAATTATGAAGCAAAAAGAAAGGATAAGTTTGGCTTGCCCTGGGAAGGGGCCCAAGCTCTGTCCCAGCCACTAAACAGAATCAAGGGACAAGGGCTCAGTGGAAAGACCAGCGCCAGCCTCCATCTATGCCACCCCCTTGGCCACCAACACACAGAGCCACTGAAGCATGAAATGTCAAAGGTCCTGTTTATTCCCACAACCTGAAAAGAAAACATGGAAATAAAAAAGAAAGATCCATGCAGACAACTCCAGCGGGTGGGGTGGGGCAAGATGGGGTGGGGTGAGGGATGAGGACCACGGGAAGCCGGGAGAACGAGGAGGGAAAGAGAGAGAGGAGGCTCAGATCAATAAAAAGACAAGCCAGGCGTGGTTCTGTACGCTTGTAATCTCAGCGCTTTGGGAGGCTGAGGCAGAAGGATCTCAAATTTGAACCCAGCCTGGGCAAATAAGCAATTTAATGGGCCCAGGTCTCAAAAAAAAAAAGAGCTGGGGTGTAGCTCAGTGCAAAGGGCCTGGGTTCAATCCCCAGTACCACGAAAAATATATATATAAATAAAAAGATGGGGACATTAATAAAAAGGCCAAATGACCCAGAAATGGAGTATCAAAAGCAGAGGTCAGTGAGGGAGAAGAGACACAATTGAGAAAATACAAGAGATAGAAGGGCAGAGAACAAAAGCTGGGCAGAGGCAGGAAGAGAAAACAAAAGGGAGGGAAGGTGATAGAGACATAGACCAGAAAGGACACAGACCACAAGGGTCGGACCCCAGCAGCCTTGGGACAGCACCTACGGGTCCCCAGCGGTGCTGATGACGTGGAAGAGGGTGACGTTGTATAGCACCTGGTGGCCGTTGTTCCAGGTGTACAGGGCCCGCTCGCGGGGGTTGTAATCCAGCATAGAGATGTGTGAATACTGGTTGTGGAACGGCACGTCTGTGTACTCATAGCTGGACGTGTTGGTGAAGTAGGCAAAGTAGACCTTGGCCCCCGCCAGGTGGGAGTTGGTGACGTAGAGGACGCCGCAGATCATGAAGGCCTCACCGGCGCTGCGCTTGGGGTAGCCGGTGTCCCAGGACCGCATGACCTCCAGGGTGTGCGGGTCCAGCCGGCTGACCACGATGTTACCCGCGTTCTGGTTGGTAGTATAGACGGCCCAGAGCCCACTCTCGTCCACCATGAAGTCCATGTCAGAGAAGCCGCCCCAGGAGTAGGGGAAGGTGTTGTTGTAGCCAGCGCCTGGCAGGCTTCTCTGCACCAGCACCGAGCGCGAGCGGAAGTGGTACTTCACCACCACGTTGCTCTGGTACTTGTTGTAGAACAGCGAGCCATTGTACACCACGTGGCCCGTGCCTGCCCAGGGCTGCGGCAGCAGGTGCTGGATAAAGTTCTGGCCTTTGATGAAATCACCCAGGGTGCGGAACTCCAGGACCCGCCGGCCCTTGTAGTAGCCGTCCATGTACCAGACCTACAGAAGCAGCCGCACGAGCGCGGGTCACTGCACGGACCACCGCAGGGACCCAAGGGACCCAGGACCCATTCAGGGCTCAACCATCACTAGCGGGCATTGCTCCATCACAGGCCTTCCGTGGCCATCATGCGACCACTCAAGGCCAGACACAGCCTGGTGGCCCACCTCACAATAGACCCAGCTGGATGGCACTTGGGCCTGAAGGACTGGGGGCTCCCTGGGCCAAGGGTTCACAAGTGACTGGACGGTGGCTGATCAGTGCTCGCTGGACAGCCACGGGGCGGTAAGAGGCCCCCTGCAGTCACTGCCAAGGGGTAACACCTGGAACCACCCCGGTAACTAGGCATGTGTCATCTCACCGCCACTACCACCATCACAACTTCGTGTTCACAGCAATTGTGGTGCCTTGTCCTACCTGTGCCAAGGGGCTGTGCACTGAGCTACATCCCTCGGCTGTCCACTCTCCTTCCTTCCACTTATTTGTTTTGATTGTTTGTTTTTAAGTTTTGGTTTTTGAGACAGGGTCTCACTATGTAGTTCAGGCTGACCAACTCAATACATAGCCCAGGCTGGCCTCAAACTCACAGTGATCCTCCTACTTTGGCTTCCTGAGTGCCAGGATTATAGGCGTGAGCTGCCGCGCCCAGCTCACTTACTTTATTTTTGAGACCAAACCTCGCTAGTTGTCCAGGCTGGCTCGAATCTGCTATCCTCCTGCCTCAGCCTCTGGGAATGCTGGGATGACAGGTGCGCACCACCATCCAGTCCAGCTGAGTGGCCTTGTTATTTATTGAGCTACGAATCCTAAGGATGTCAGTGCCAATGCCTCGGCCCTTCTGAAGACATGTGGACTGGACACAAACATGAAGGACCTAGCCCAAGGCCCCTGGCCAGAAAGTGATGAAATGAGATGCAAGTCCAAGTGTGGTTCCCAAGGCAACCAGTTCCTTGAACCCCCATGGTCTATGGAAGGCCAGCATTATGGCAAGATGGTGGCCAGGACACTCAGTGGCCTCCCTGTCAGGAAGGTCAGTGTTACGGGACAGTCACTGGGCAGTGTGTGGATGGTCCGTGTGGGCCCAGGTAATGAGCAATGATAACTCCAGCAGGGTCCAAGGGTCACTCACCAGGCTTGCTAGGAGTCTGGTTTTGGGAAGGCATTAATCAGTGACATAATGACTCAGAGATCAGTAGCAAGCAGTGTGCTACTTGACGTCACAGCTAGGCCAGGCCACATGTACAATGGTTCTCTATGGTCACATCACCTGGAGACATTATCACCGTCTTCATTTGCATTATGTGACACTCCCGCCACCATGCAGTGGCCTATCAGCTCACACATGTCCCTGTCCTCAAGGACCACCCAGTAGACCATTGGTCTGTGCTCAGTTACTGGCGGTCACTGGGCCTTGGGGCTCTCAGGATGAGAAGGTCCCAGGTTACCTGTTGGTCACTGGTTAGTCCAGGGCATGCCCAAGGGGCTGTGAGGACCCAGGACGGTCCTTAGGCCTCAGGGAGCAGGCATAGGCCTTGCCTTTCCCGACGCTGGCCCCAGAGCATGAGGGGTGTAGTTACTCACCCGGCTGTCCACACTGGGGGCCATCGTGTCGGTCATCCAGGAGCCGAAGCGGGAGCCCATGGCCCGGATGGTGATGGGGTTACTAACCCCGGTCAGCTTACCACAGCCTGGGGGGGCAGGAGCAGGCGGAGGAATGAGGGGTGGGACCAGCAGTGAGGGAAGGCGGAGAAATCTACCCTAGTGTAGAGTCAGGATGGGGAGGGAGGGCCTTCAGCTAAGGGTCAGGGGCACTTCCGGAATTGGGGACCAGGTTTGGCTTTGGGGAGAGAAGTCAAGGGAGAAAGTTTAGACTCCGGAGGTCAAAATGGTCAGGAGGTGAGAGACATGGCAGAGGTCAGGGCTCACGGTCAGGCGTACCCAGCTTCTGCGCACAGGCGTGCAGCCGCGCCTCCAGGGCCAGGACGCGCTGCTGCAGGTCCTCGTAGCCGTAGGCGCCCATTTCCTCCTGGATGGCAGCGAGGCTGCCCGAGAGGTTCCGCACCTCTTCCCGCAGCCGCACGATGGTCCGCGTGTCCGTCTTGTACTGCTCCAGCACTGAGCTCAGGGGCAGCAGCTCCGTCATCCTGTCCTTCAGCTCCTACCCAGCGAGGCGGATCCTGACCCCGAGCACAAGCCTGACCCCGACTTCTGCCGCGCAGCGCCGCCCTCTTATCTTTCCTTCTTGTTTTGAGACATGGTGTCACTCTGTGGCCCAGGCCAGCCTGGAACTCACAGTGACCCTCCTGCCTCAGCCTCGCCAGTGCTGGGTGGCAGATGTGCGTCCCTATGCCCGGCTCCACCGTTTCCTCTGATCAGTGCTCGGCCCGAGACACTTGGCCCACCCTGGCCCCAGACCCCAGGCAGCCTTCTTTCCTCCCTCGCCATTCACCCTGACCCTCACCCTCGGCCCAGGCACCCACCTGGAAGCTCTTGGCCGAGAGGGAGCCATCTGCCGCCCGCAGCCGCGCGTCCAAGCTGCGCATGAGGGTCTCCATGCTGCGCACATACTGCAGATCCCGGTACGTCCGGAGCTCAAGGACTTCCATGGACTGGGACACATTCTGGACCTGAGACGGAGACCACCCTGGAGGCCAAGACCCCCTGTCCCACCCCACTCAGAGAGGCCACAGACGAGGCCAGGTAACACAGGTGCCAGGCCACCTCCCCAGCGCTCAGCCTGGTCGTGGCCCTGGCCCCGCTTTGCGTCGTCCCTGCACCCTGCGGCCGGCCGAGGGAGCGGGTTCTCCCTGTGCAGCGTGCAAGGGCTGCTTCTGGGCTGCTTCTGCCTTCTCACTGCTTCCTGTCCCCATGGTTACTGTTTGACTTCCGTTCTCCAAGGCTAAGGGTGACCGAAGTCCCGCCCTCCACAGGCCGCTTCTCCTGTTGTCCCAATATGCAGAACCCTGTCCCCTGCTGTCCCTGGTCATAGTGTCACACTCATGCTCCCTTTCCCATGTAATTTTCTTCCTCACTTGGACTACTACCCACGCATCCTTTTATCTACTCCAGCTCCATCTGGCAATTGAACCCAGGGCCTTCCCACTGAGCTACATACACAGCCCTTTTTTATTTTATTTTGGTTTTTTTGAGACAGGGTCTCACTATGTAGTTCAGGCTGGTCCTGAACTCACTTTGTAGCCCAGGCTGACCTTGAATTCACAGCAATCCTCCTGCCTCAGCCTTCTGAGTGCTGAGATTACATACCTGCACCACTACACCAGGCCTTTACTTTCTTGAGACAGGGTCTCACTAAGCTGTCCAGGGGGCACTCAAATTTGAGATTCTCCTGTCTCAGCCTTCTAGAGTGCTGGGATGACAGGCTTGCAGAATCATGCCTGACTGGGCCAACGTGTTTTTCCATGACCCTCTAGAGGCAGAGGGTGAGCCCCACAGGGTCACAGAGCTCAGTCAGGTCAGCTCTTATAAGGTGGGTGCACTCAACTGAGGCCTGGCTGCTGTCCCAGGACCTTCCGCCTTCTCAAGCCCCCAGGCCCTTAGCTTGTCTTCCCCCAGGTGAGGAGCAGATGCTGAATTAAAATGTGGCCTTGGATCTGGGGATGCAGCCCAACGGTGGGTGCTTGCCTCGCACGCGGGAAGCCCTGGGTTCCCTCTGCAACACCATCCAGGAAAAGGAAACAGAAGACCACCCTTGTGCGGCAGCCCTGCATGCGTCTTGGGCAGGGCGGGGTGAGGACAGTGTGGGGAACCAGCCCGAGGCCCCTACCTTCTCCATCAGCTGCCGCAGCTCCCGACTCCGGCCGTCCCGGGAACAGGTGCTCTGCGCCGGGATCACAGCGGTGCACACACATTTGCCGTCTGGGGCCTGCGCCGAGGTGTACAGCTGCCAGCCCTCCTCGGGGCTCTGGAAGAGAGTCTGTGAGAGGCAGGGTCAGGGGCGTGACCCTGCGAAGGGCCCCTCCATCTTGCTTTGTGGAGACAAGGTCTTGCTACATAGTTCAGGCTGACCTTGTACTCATGACAATCCTCCTGCCTCAGCCTCCTGAGAGCTGGGAAGACAGGCATGAGCTACCATGCCTGGCTTGCCTTGATCTTTCTTGCTGGGAGAATAGAGGGCCCTGGAGGTGACAGATGCCCTTCCCCAGAGGCCTGGGGAAGTTCCAAAGCAGATATTGGGGGGCCATCAAGTGGGATCACGACTATGCCTCAGGGAGCCCCATTTTACAGATGCGAGGCACAGAAGTGTTAAGGTTCACAACAAGGACTTGGGGGTTCAGCTCTTCCCCAAGCCAGTAAGTAACTCATTCTCTTTCTCTCTTTCTCTCTCTCTCTCTCTCTCTCTCTCTCTCTCTCTCCCTCCCTCTCTCTCTCTCTCTTTCTGTCTCTGTCTCTCTGTCTCTTTCTCTGTCTCTGTGTGTGTGTGTGTGTGTATGTGTATCTCTCTCTCTCTCTCTCTCTCTCTCACACACACACACACACACACACACAATCCTGCCATGGTAGCACATGCCTGTGATTCCAGCACTGGGGAGGCTGAGGCAGGAGGGTCTTCCTGAGTTTCAGTACAGCCTGAACTGCACAGTAAAACCCTCTTGAAAACAAAAATAGTTGTTCTACTGTATTGTGTGGGGAACAATGCCAAGAAGAGAGCCCATACATGTGTACATGTTTGGGACAGACACTATTGCTCTTGGGTTTTGTTGTTGTTGTTGTTGTTGTTGTTGTTTGTTTGTTTGTTTAATGTACAGGGTCTCTCTATGCAGCTCCGACTCAGTGATCCTGTTTTCAGCCTCCCGGTGCTGGAATTTCAGGTGCACGCCACCACACCTAGCCTTGGTGGCCAGTTCAATGAGCTGATGCGCAGGGACAGACACTTTTAAAAAATTGCTTTTTCAGTCTGCATTGGTCACCCCAGTGGATCCAAAGTATGCGGACACAGGACTGAAGACACTCAGTGGGTGGGTTGGGGTGCCGGGCCCCCCGATCAACCTGGAGCTTCCGTGGAGCTGAGGACTTAGCATAGGCCCTAACTTTTTGTTGGTTTCTGGTACTGGGGTGGGATCCAGGGGTGTTCCACCACAAAGCCACACCCCCAGCTCTTTTTATTTTTTATCTTGAGACAAAATCCTCCTGAGTTGTGCAGGCTGGCCTCAACCTTGTGTCTCTGCCACCTGCAGGGCTGGGATTACAAACACACGCCACCACGTCCAGTGTGCCCCTCTATTCTCCTTTCTCCTCACCCCTCTTTCTCTCTTGATACCAGTGGCTCAGTCCAGGTCCTTTGCCCTGAGCTACACCCCCCGCTCATTTTTATTTATTTATTTATTTATTTTCTGAGTTGCCCATGCTAGTCTCAAATTGAACCCTCCTGCCTCAGCCTCTCAAACCGCTGGGATTACAAATATATACCACTGCATCCAGCACCTGAATCCTTTTTTTTTTAACTTTATGTATTTAGTTCAGAATCTCACTACCCAGCTTGGACTCATACTGATCCTCCTATTTGCAGCCTCCCCAGCGCTGGGATTATAGGCATGCGCCACCACGCGCTGACTCGGTCGCTGGCTCAGTGTGCCCGAGGGCGGGGCCGGCATGGCATGCGTTACCAGGGATGGAACCCCGGTCTCTGCACTTGCCTATCTCGCTGGTCCTACCTGAACCCTTTTAAAAGGACACAATGGTCTCGTCGAATGGGGTCACCAACATTTATTAAGCTCCTACTGCGGGTCAGATTCTGCTCTGCACACACGCACGCGAGTGCGCATGCACGTAGGCACGCCTCCACACGCACACCGAAGCTCCTCTGGGAGGTCCTCCTCCACCCGCCCCAGGAGTTTTATTAAAGCAGATGAAACCCACAAAAAATAAGAAATAAGAAAATATCAGATATCAAGTCCCTTTTTTTTTTGGCAGAACTGGGGGTTGAACTCAGACCCTTGCACTTGCCAGGCAAGTGCTTATTCTACTGAGCCATCTCCCCGACCCCTGCAATCTCTCTCTCTTTTTTTTTTTTTTTTTTTTTTTTTTTTTCTGGAACTGGGGATTGAACTCAGGCCCTTGCACTTGCCAGGGAAGCGCTTATTCCACTGAACTCAATCTCATTTAAAAAATGTGAACTATAATTCAGGAGAAGGGCTGAGAGGATGTGGGGGTCACTAGGCTGCAACCGTAGTTCTCATCTGAGCAAAGATGGCGCGGAAACGAAGGAGCAGCCAGAGAACACTATGTGGAGTTGGGAAACCTGCGGGAGGCCTGTGAGGCCGCAGCAGGGAAGTAAGCAGGTGAACGGTGGGAGAGGACGGTGGGAGAGGACGCAGGGCCGGCTCCTGCCCAGGGGAGGTGGGAGCTATGGAACATTCTAGAGAGGCAGAGGGACACACTGAGGCTCGAGTGCTCACAGTGACCTCTGGCTGCTGCAGAGGTAAGTGAAGAGGCCGAGCAAAAGTGACACATGGGTCCAGGCAATCGATGAATCGTCACGGTAAGATGGGAAATGGAAAAAAAACATTTTTTTTTTAAAGACAGGATCTCACTATGCAGTCCAGGTTGGCCTTGAATTACGTAGCGCAGGCTGGTCTCACACTCACTCACAGTGATCCTCCTGCCTCAGCCTCCTGAGTGCTAGGATTATAGGTCTTCACCCAATTTAGGTTTCAATTTGAGATCCTACTGCCCTGGCCTCCTGGCTGCTGGGAAATGGTAAATGCTGGTCTTCCCCCATGTCTTCTGCCAGGCATGCAAGAGATTCTGATAAACCACAGGTCTTTTACAAGGAGACAAAACAGCCCGGAGATCGATCGCTGTGCATCATCCTGATGCCCGCTGAGCCCAGGAGAGAGAAGCCCAGCTTCGCTTTCGGAGCTGCCCAGAGACTCCTGCTCTTACCCCACCCTTTCCTCTCCCACTCAGTAACGTCTTTTATGTTTTCTTTAACCGTATTGCAATGTGAGCAAATGACATAATTGCATGACTGAGTTTGACTCTTGTGCTAATTTATAAGGAAAATAAACCATTCGGACAGGCCTCTAATGAATCATGCTGCAGGCCTTAGCACTCGCCTGCCTACCTGGGCACCCCAGGCTGCACCCCCTCCGTTCGCACTTGGCCTGCGCCCAGGTGTGAGCCTCATGAGGCTGCCACCTACGCAGAACCCCTTTGGGTCCCTGCTGCTGGGGTCTTCCCAGGCTGGGATAAGGATCAGCCCTGTGGCTTCCCCTTTGTATAGAATTTATGCACAGCCTCCCATGGACTTTATATTTTAATTTTTATTTTTGGAGTCTTTTTGAGACAGGGTCTTGAAATGTAGTTCAGGTTGGCCCTGAACTCACTACATAGCCCAGGCTGGCTCATGACTCAGTCTCAATACTCCTCTTGCCTCAGCTTCCGCTATGCCTGGCGCTTTCATGGACTTTATTTTATATTATTTATGTATTTAGTACAGGGTCTACAGAAGCTCACTACTCAGATCAGACTCATAGTGATCCTCCTGTTTTCAGCCTCCCAAGCGCTGGGACTACAGGCGCATGCCACCACGCCCAGTCTCAATTGCCGTCTCAGTGTACCCCGGGCATGGGGCCGGCATAGCACTCCAGGATTCAAACCCAGTCCCTGCGTCTGCCTAAGCAGGCGCTTTAATCCACTGAGCTATCTGGCCAGCCCTTCATAGACTTTTTTTTTTTTTTTTTTTTTTTTTGCGGAACTGGGGATTGAACTCAGGCCCTTGCTCTTGCCAGGGAAGTGCTTATTCCACTGAGCAATCTCCCTGCCCCCCTTCATAGACTTTTAATTGTCTCCACCTGATTTGGGATTAGTACCTGATGCGGTATAAATGCTATTGCAAAAGTTGTTAGGCAGCATCATTTAGTAAATTCTAATAAGAAACAAAATTTGAGCCTCTAGTGGTGTAGGCCTGTAATCTTGAATACTTGGGAGGGTGAGGCAGGAAGATCCCAAACCAAAGCCCAACCTGAGCAATTTAGCAGACCTTGACTCAAAAGTAAAATAAGGGGCCAGGGAGATGGCTCAGTGGAATAAGCGCTTCCCTGGCAAGTGCAAGGGCCTGAGTTTAATCCCCGGTTCCGCAAAAAAAAAAAGTAAAATAAAAAGTCTGGGAATGTAGCTTAGTGGTGAAATACCTGCCTAAGGCGTACGAGGCCCTGCGCTCAATCCCCCACAATCCTGTAGCACAGATTCAGCTTTTTCCCAGAATTTACAATCTCTGCATGAGTGGGCGCCTACAGCTTCTCTCAGTGTCCTAGGGACTGAGCCCAGGGCCTTCACACTGAGCACTTGCTGAGTCACTGAGTTGCCCACACTAGGCTCCATGCAGTCCTCCTGCCTCAGCCTCCCAGAATGCTGGGGTCACTGGAGTGGAACCTGTGTTTTGTTCTCCCCTGAGAAGCCCCACCTCAGACGAGGGAGGCCCCAACCCTCGCTCTGGAAGGAGGTAGAATGAGCTTCTTCTCCTTCCCGGATGAAGCCAACAGCACACACCAACACAAAGCCAAACAGCGAGCAGGAGCCTGAGCGCCCCTGCCCCTCCCCCCTGGCACCGCTCCCCAAGCAATTAGGACAAGAACTCCCTCCCCCAAAGACTTTCATTTGCGCAGAAACAAATCAGCCCGATTCAACATAATTAACGTCTCTTCCCTGCTTTGCCTCGCGAGTCCTTTAAGGCAAACAAGGCCTTTTCTCTCAACATAGGAAATATTGAATTGTAAAAGAGAAGCAAGCTTTAAGTGGCAGGAAGAGAAAGCCTCCCTGGCTTTCCTAAAATAATTGTCTGTGTCGGATGCACCTCGCAGCGTTCTCTGCAGCAGTGTAATTAAATGCCTGGGGTTTGGCTGCCAACTCTCAGCCACTCGGATCCTCAGTTTTGCCCAGAGGGTTTGAGTTCAAATATGCAGTCAAGTTCTG